ATATATATATATATATATATATATAGAGAGAGAGAGAGAGAGCACTAGAGAGGGAGAGCGCGATAAGAGACTCAAAAGAAAGCACCCTAGTCGATAAATGACTAGTTTAAAAGCTTTGCACTTAGGTCTGGTTTACTTTGCGGCAGTCGGACGAACGTCAAAATGAAGTCGGCCACATTGCGCTTCACTAACTTGGAGCGACCCCAGCCGAAGGCTGGAGGTACAGAAAAGAGCGCCAACCAGGATAACATCATTGAGCTGCCGCCGCCGCCCGAATCGAAGCTGAATCTTCCGTCAAAGTACATTTGGACCCCACATCTCACTACGTTGTCCCAAGAGGAAAAGTTACGACTGGAGAAGGTGGCTCCGTCTTTCTATCCATACGACAAGTGGGCCCGCATCCCATGGAGCAAGTATCACCTGCCGATCTCGGCCCCACGGGTCCACCAAATCTCCTTATCTCATGATACATTCTCAGATCCCTTACCTGGCCGTCTACCCCCTTTGATCTTCAAATGATCAAGAATACCATGAATCCACCTGGATGGTCTACAGGTTTTAAGCTCTACTCTTCTTTCCTCAAAGGAGCTGAGTATAGAGATATATTGTTTTGTCTGCAGAATGTGAACTTCCGGCATCCTTGTCAATCATATAGTGCCTTTGCCATAATTCTTCTTACTCTCTTATGGATATATAAAGATTTCCGGATTAAGGTGAGCCAAGAGTGCGTACATGGAAAGTAAAAAAATTCAATTTTGTTTGACTTTGTATTCGCAACTTGGTCATATCGGCAGGAAGACCTAGAGGAAAGCACCTAGTCCGTAGTCCGGAGAGTACCAATTCCACTGTCCAACTATGGAAATTGTCATGGATATTATGGACTCCGGACAAGATGCATTCGTCTAGGTCTTCCTGCCAGTATGACTAAGTTACCGATGCAAGATCAAAAAACTTGTATACAATAAAACGAGACCGCAACCATACAAAAGGCCATACCACCCTGGTCTTTATACCTTCGAGTAAACAAAATTGAGACAGGTGAAGTAAATCCCCATTTCTGTCGAAATGGTTTCGGTATCACTCCTCTTTCTGTCTTGCCCGCTCCGTCCATTTCCAACCCTCTTGTCTCGCCCTCGTCGAATCACAGCTTTTGACATGTTTATATTATGAGATGTATTCACCCTATTTCGTTAGGGTGATGAAGGACTAATAGTCGAATTTTCCCACAACGGTATGAGTAGAGCTGACGTTTCCATTGAATTTCACATATCCCTGCTTTCCTAAAAGTTGTTCTTATTCATACGGAAGTGGACTGCAGTTTCGACCTCGCATGCGTCTTATCAACACCCCCAGCGGGAGTCGAACCGTGAAAGTGCAGAATATGAGCTTGACATGTTAACCACTCGACCACATGTCATATTACGATTCATTGGTAGTCTCAAAACTCTACTTACATCGACGTTTACAACAGTTTACAAAGGTCAAATGGCATAATTGAGAAATAATTGTCTTCTTTGTCCTGCTATAATTGTTGCATTGTTTGGCAATCTTACTTCTATAGTTTATTTAAATGTATGAAGACCAGGATGGAATGACCTTTGTATCAATAGAGGTTTTTTGACCTTGTTTTCGCAACTTGGTCATATTTGAGATGATGCTTTAAGGTTATGCTTAATATCCGCAAGCATGGGAGTCACAGCCTAGGCGCTCTGCAGATAAA